GTCAGACTTTTCAAATATGCTAAACCATTTTAATGGCTCACTGTCTTTAGTGCTGATGAATTTTGAAAGAGTTTGATTCCCACTTAAGCAGTACTGGGTACTTCTTAAAGCATCTCATGAAGGACGCTTCTTCATCTGCATGTTTTGAAATCAGACTGAGTGTTCTTCTTGGCATTTTGATTCTAAAACAAATTTATCAATATATGGTGCTTCCTGAACAAAGGAGTCTTGCTATCCTGCTCTTCAGGTTTACACATGGAGCAAACCTGTAGACCTAGAGTCATGTAAGATGGAGGGGACCTGTGAAGGTCCTATGATCCAGCCCCTGGCTCAAAGCAAGTGCAGTCTGAGCAGGCTGCTGAGGGCATTGTCACATCTTACTCATTTTACGCATCTTCAAGGATGGAGATCCCACAGACTCTCTGGACAGCCTGTTCCAGCATTTAAGCACACTCATGGTGGGTTTTTTTTTTCTACTTACCTTGAGTTGGCTTTTCCTATGTTCCAGTTTATGTCTGCTGCCCCTGGTCCTTTCACTCTATACCTCTGGCAAGAGCATGGCTCCAATTTCATATATATGTCATCTTACAGCAGTAAGATCTTCCCTGAGCATTTTAAGGCTGAACAAGCCCATCTCCTTCAGCCCCTGCTCATGCATCCTGTGCTCCAGCTCTGGACCTAGCCACCTCCACTGGTCTCCCTCCAGTAAATGTTGTCCTGAGGAGCCCAAAATGGCACACACTGTTCCAGATGCAGTCTCTGAAGTGATGAACAGAGGGAAAGATCAGTTCCCTGAACCTGCTGACTATGCTAATGCAGCCCAGTATGCAGGTGGCTGTCTTTGTCTCAGGGAAACTCTACTGACTCGTGTTCAACTTGGTGTCTGCCAGGACCCCTACGTCTTTTTATGCTTTCCAGCTGATTGACCCCCAGGGTGTAGTGGTGCATGGGGTTATTCCTTCCTGGGTGGAGGCTTAACATTTGCCCTTCTTGATATTTGTGAGGGCAGTAGATAGGAAATACTGTCCAATTTGTCTCATCAGGTTTAACATCCTGGGTCAGATTTGTCACTGGAGCAACCTTGAGGGATGTGATTGTACCAGGTACAAGTTAGAGAAGAATTTGATCCTGTAGGTCCTCAGGTTGCAATCTGACATTACATCTGACCCAGGGTAACTGCTACTGAAATGGATAGCTCTGCTCTCCCCGCATCCCTGATAATATGCTTCTGTTAATTTTCTTATATCAAATTTAGTTGACTCTTTAGCCGCAGAGTCAGATCAGCAACTTGAAGAACAGAATGCCATCCAGATGCTCTGAAAGAAATTGAGTATTTTCTTTTGGCCCCGAAAGCTTGAGATGTGCCCACAGCTACATAGGTTGAGACATGGTACAGAGAAGGAGGAGACCAGGTCCAGACCTTTCAGTATCAGCACACTGTTACCCTGGATTAAGCTGATGGTGGTTTGATGTTTTACAATATAATTTTGTTGGTCAGCTCCAGTAATTTCTGGGTTTACAGATATTGTAGGCAGGTGGATAAAACAAAATTTATTGGGAGATTAAACATAGAAGATATATTAAAATCCTACAAGTCATTTGAAAGAGCTGCTTTAAAGGTGCTCTTAATTCTCATTTTAAAAATAGATTATCCAACTGTGAAAATCACACTGAATATTTTTAAAAGAATAAGTAGCTAATTAAAACCCATACTTAGCAATGTTTAGTGGGTGACTGGTTGTGAGATGTCATTATATTCGAAGGCAGATACACTCTTAACCTACAATGCTATATATAGTCTTTCTCACATGTTAAAGAGCTCAGAAGCTGAAACCTTGTTAACTGACTGTTACCACCTTCTGTTGTGCCTTCACTCGTACTGGCGTTGAAATCCTCAAGCAGGGCTGCTTGTGAAAAGGAGAGGTCAGATGTTACAGAAATACCAGCAAATGTGTTGTGTATTGGAATTCTGAATTCCCAATAAACAAAATAGAGAAGCAAATGCCGAGACTTAATTATGAGTTTAGAAAACCAGTGGGAGGAGGAACTGTCCACCTGTACCTTTGGGCAGACAGCCTCCAAGGAGGATTTCCCTGCTTTTATAGAGCAAGGTGTCTTGCAGACATGAAAAGCTTAAAAGAGAAGTGAAATGGTTGCTCTTTCCCCTCTGAATGGAAGGGCACAGTGCATAGTTACTAAAGTTTCAGAAAGCAGACCAAGTAAGATATGTTTACAGGGTAGGAAAACTTCCACGCACATTCACCCCGAAGGAAGCTCTGTGGCATGCTGTGGTGCCTGTGAATGTTGGCATGATTCGTGGGTGTCATCTACCAGGCTCTGTCTTTGTGCTGTAGGAGGTCAATTATCTTATTTCTCTCTAAGTTTTTACTTAGAGAGTATTTTTTTTCAGATTGTTTAATTGTCTAAAATAGCTGAGCCAGTTCAAAGTGAACAGTCCCTACTTCTACTTTACTTGATACTTGATGCGTCTGTTTCAGATGGGCTTCTGTGTTCAGATGGAAGATTTTTGTTAGGTCAATTATTGAGTCAAAAGATACATTACCTCTGGCTTCTGTTCCTCTTATACTAGGTATAAGAATGCTCAGTAGTCATGGTACTTCTTCAGAGCAGTGCCTTTTTCATGGCTTCAAGAACATCACCATCTCCAGGATTATTAATTTTGCAAAGCCTGCTGTTTTAATGAGAGTCCCAGTCTTGTTCTCCATAAAGAGTATGGCAAACCATACTTGATGGTAATATCCTGCCTGCAACTGTGTATAAGAATGAAAGATATTGGGGTAGTTGCATGGCAGTGTAGTTGTGTGATTGCATCTATGGAGCAGGTTACCATTTTTGTAGGGGCTTAATTCAAAATAGGTTGCTAGTGGTTGTAACAAATTGATGGATGTCTGTAAATCAAGATGAGAGGTCTTCCTAAAACACAAAAAAGATCTATTACAAGTTCTTGTCTCAGTTGTGGAACAGTTGAAGTTCCTTGGCATGTGCCTTTCCAGGTCAATCAATACTGTTAAGTTCTAGACTTGATTTTTTAACATTTTATTAAAATGAAAACACGATTAAATGGTGTCTTTCACATTGGCAGTAGAAAACTAGGACAGCTGTTGAATTCTATTACTCTGTTGTTAAGTTCTTGGTAATTAGTCATTGATTTTCATTATCTCTATGGAAGTGTATCATGTTTGGTAATTATTATTCCAATGAATGTATGTTTATGTCCAGAGGTCCTTTCCAACCTCAATTATTCTGTGATGTTCATGAAACCCTTTTATTATTCCAAGTGTTAGAAGGCTCCGTGACTTCAAGCAGTATAAAAATCCATTGCAAATAACAGTTATGACCTAATAATAAAATATATAACACAGGAGCTTGCTACAAGGACAGACTTACTGCTCACTGGAGCAGTGTGGCTTCATCACATCCTGTCTGTTATACTAGAGACATTTGTTGTCTTCTTCTGATCTGTCTATTGAGTATAATTCATGGAATAAAATCCTCTCCTGAACAGGTGGGAATATAGGCCTCCTGGATCTGTACTAGCATGGCATTGGGCCTGTTTGTACAAAATCACACATGGAATATTTAGTTGTGTCAGAGATCAGGACAATTTTAAAGGCCATTTCCATAAAATATTTTTTCTTAGCTTAACTTTAGGTGAGTAAGAAGGTAGCAAGTAATTGGAGTATTAATTCATTAGTGAAAAAAAAAAAAAAAAGGTGAAAAGCAGAATTCATTCTCAGATACCCAAAGATATAACGATATCTAAACTCCATGTGTCCTCATAATTTTTGAAGTATTGCCTGTGGTCCAAAATGGATGACAGTGTTGATCACTTATTTAGCTGGTTTAAAATAGATTTTAGTAACATTATTTAGAAACAAAGGACAGCATTGCTTTTGTTCTCTTTTTAAGTAATAAAAAAAAATATTTTAAGTGCAACACAAATGTAAAATAAGCCACTCTTGGATAGTTTAGGGAGCAAAATAATGTTTACGCCTCACAAGAAGTATCTGTGCAACTTTTGTAGCGAAGACAACCACTCAATTGATATGAACTTCATAGTGGTTGTGGTCAGATGCCATGTAGAGTTTTAATGAAATGTTAATGAAATAATCTGATCAGATGGACTTCACCATGAGGCAGAAAGCTTGTGTTATGTTTGTGCCCCACTTAAGCCATATTTTGATAGCTTGCTTGGGATTTAGTTGGCCATGAGCTTTGGGTGGAGTGAAATGTGTTTCTAAATCCTCACCATCCTTTGCTGCATTATGAAGTGATTTGTCCATCTGGTCCTCTTGGAGAAAAAACCTCAGCAGTTTCTGTGCCCAGACAAGAAAGCTCATGGCAGAAAGCTTTTTGTTTTAAAGACCTCAATAAAAAGGAAGGATTTAATTAAGTGTAAGGGTAACTGTTGTTGAGTAGAGCAAACAAATAATGAAGACACTTTGGGTTTTATAACTGGGATATATTTTTTCCTGTGAGAGTTCATTGACATTTGCTTTCTGAGCATATAGATTAAGAGAAGGACTTCAATATGATCAAAGATGGGAGGACAAGTGCTGTTTTTTTAATGTATAAAAGTCATCACTCTCATGCAGCATTTTAGCAACATAAAAGCAGCTGCTTTTGCCTGTACTTACTCCTTGTAGTGCCAATTTTATTTTCATTCTGTAACTGATCCTGTTAGTGATCAACCCTTGCTGATAAAATATTTCTTAGATACACAAGGGTTTGGACTGAAGTGCTCAGTATGTTTTTATATCTTTAGATATTATTTTTTTTGTAAGTAGCTGTAACATCTGCATCGCTTTGATATGTCCCTCCAATACTTTAGCCTCCAAGTAGCTGAAAAATCATGAATGAGAACTGGGAAAGCAGAGAAAAAGAAACCAAAGAAATAATCAGTTTCCTTATGGGAAAATATTTAATTTTGATAGAGGCATGAGACTGTAACCTGTATGCTTTTGTTTCCTCTTTTGTAGGCTGCCTTTCCCTGCCGGTGACCGGGTGACTTTTAATGGAAAAGAGTGCATCTGCCAGAAATGTTCCCTGCCCCCTTCCAGCAGCACCGGCTCTTTTCCTATGCAGAACCTGCGAAGTAAGTAGGCGTTTCTGCTCTTTTCGTTAGTACTTCTTAGTCTGCATAAGTTTAAAGAACACAGTTTTATACTGATATGTTTAACTGGAATTTTTACCACTAAGCTACTTAAAAGGTGTCAAGAAATACAATGTAGTTGTGTGAAAAAGTATATGACAGTTTTCTGAGAAGTCTGATGTTAAAAACAAACACAGATGGTGCCATTGTAGGGTTAACAATACACAGAACTTCCCAGAATATTTGATTAAAACTAGAGTAGATAAAATTATTTGGAGAAAGGCGTAATACCGATGTTAATATTTTTGAGGATTTAGTCCAACTCCAGCTAAAATAAAATCCAACGTGATATTGAATAATTTGTAAGTATTCCAGGGTTGTTTCAAGCAATATCAGTGACATGGCTGCACGGCTAAACACTGCACAGGAAGGGTTAATGTATGCAAGGTGACCAGAGGGGCATTTGCCTTGACCTCAGTACTATTGTGTACTATCAGAAGATACAAACACTGCAGAGAAGCATGGTCTTTTCATAACATGTTTTTTGCAGCAGATAATAGAGTGGGCATTGTTGCTCTGAACTCTGTTCCTCTGCTGATTTGTTCACGAGGAGCTGCCACGCTTTACAATTCATCTACCACCTATATGTAAATAAACATCACCACCAATTCAGTTAAACAGCAAAGGCAGAAATATTTTTAATGACTACCATATCACATCGAGCTGGATTTGGCATGGCTGAGGAAGGACCCCATAGACTGGTCTTCCAGCCTACTTCAGGAAGAAATTTGTTTTTCCTTTTCTCCTTGTTTTTCCCCACATCTCTTTTTTTTTACAGAAGTTTTCACCATCTCCTTTCTCCAGCTTGTCAGCAAAGGCTGCTGTGTGAATGCAGTAAAAGATGCAATGCTGTTTCCTCTCTTGCTAATGCTGTTCTCTTTTGGGGAGGGGACAGCCCTCTCTTTTAGGTGCTTTCTCTTGTTACTTATCCCAGAGATGGATCATGCTCAGCCATCTTGGCTGGCTGCATTTGCAGCTCTGTACTTGAATGGCCTATTGTCTGTTTGTCTCCTTGTCATATGGGAAAAGTGGCTTTGACTTTAATGGAAATTATTTGCCTGGTTGAGTAGTGACAGAACAACTTCATTTGATTATCTGTGATACAGAGTCCTTTAATGTACTTACATTCCCTTTCTCTGTACACACACACCCGCTTAGTTTTTCTTGCGTTGCATTTCCCCAGCTCTCTCAGGTTGCTGCATTGAGCCTCCCCAGTGCACGGGTTCCTGCAGAGCTCAGCAAACCACCTGCCTCAAAGAGAAGGAGCACTGGAAGCATATCTTTGTGGCAAAACCTGACTTTGGAAAACAAAAGTTTAGCTTTTCCCTGAAAAAGCTCAAATACAGATCTGCTTTAAAACTCATTAGAAATGGAGGAAGTCTTGCTTGCTACAAATTTTAGTGGATTCAGATAAGAGTCTTGATTCGAACTTGGGTATCTGCCACAGTGTAGACTGGCCTTCTAAAATAATTTGGTTTGGTCTTCACCTGAGACTTACCAGCTCTGCCTCTGAAACAATGTACTGATGGGGGTGAGCTGATAGATACCTTGGCTTCTTGAAGGGCAACTGAGATCCATATCTGGTCTGCAAGGAAATTGTGCCATGATGTTGCTAGGACCCCAGATAAATGTCTTCCTTAGCTGTGTAGACTATGTCCATTCTTATCTCTTTCTTACTCCATTTCCCTAGTGTCTTGCTGTGCTGCTGTAGGGCAGCTTCTTCTGGTTTCATGGTGACATGCAGCACCCAGGTGGCCCAGGAGCTGCAAAGCTCATGGGCTTTGGAAATTGGGTAGCAATGGTATAATCCCTCCTTGGTGTGGGAAGTAGAGCTTTGAGGGGTCAATGGGGAGCGCTGCAGCTGCAAATACATGGAGGTGCGTGCATGTATATGTAGCAGAATGTGTCAGAGCCTGGCCAACGACAACATACAGAAAAATAACCAAATATCTAAAAAGATAATAAAGAATTTGGGAAACATTCAGATTAATATGTAACACATGAAAGAGCAATGTGCAGTAGGAGGTGTTTTCTAGGCACTTACTAATTCTTAGGCTAGAACCAGTGTTTCAGGAATAAACAAGCAGTGTCAGAGACATCTTGGTTGAACTGGAAAATAGAAAGTCCAGAATGGCTGTCCATAGCTATGCATAAGGCAATAAATGGTGTTAGTGCCTCCTTGTTTTGACAATAATCTTATTGGAAAACACCTTAATATTTTAAACGAACAATTCTTTTTATAAAAGAACAATAGTGCACAAAAATACATGCCTTCAAGGAAACTGAGTCAAGGACCAAGTAATACGATGACCTGCTGTTAAGTTGGTTTTGCTCTTCGCTCAGAACTATCTGATAGGTACTATGTATGTTATTCATCAGCCTGTTTATCTCTGACTTGAGCTCAAGAATGCTTTAAGGACATCTCTTAGGAGTCATTGAGCTCCCAGCATCACTGCCTCCTCTGACCAGTCCTTCTATTTTCATTCTCCCAGTTTGATTTTGACCTTCTTTATGCATTGCATTTGAAAAAAATGAAAAATGTCAAATACTTGCTTTTTGCCCAAGTCCTTGAATTTTTTATTATTGTATAAATACCTAGCTACCTGTTTTGTTTCTTTTACAAAATGCTAGCTGTGAAAACCTCCTGTGGCAGTGTTGATATTGAAAGTGTACTCAGGAAAGAATATAAACATGTAGTAGCAATTTGAGGTGTTCTGCAGAGTTATTGGTTGAAAAGAGGTGAGTCACCAAAGGATGCTGCATCCAAGACAGGAAGACAAGGACATTGCTTCAATAGGCACTGTTGGCATAGCAACCACAATATTTGTTTTTAATTATCTGGAACTTAACAGAGAAAACAGCAATTAGGAATAAATAAGTATCTCACATAATGCTGCATTTCTGTTTATCCAAGCTTAAACCAGATGAAAGGTGAATGACATCTAAGCACACACTGTTGTATTAAGTTTGTGAAATAAACCCTCAAGCAGTGAGATTAAACTAGATTACCAGATCACATACACACACAAAAAAAATCTGATTGCCCTTAAGGAATAGATACTGCAGTGTTCATTGTCTTGTGGGACTAAATCCAGGCACACACCCAAATGTTCTCTTTTATTAGCAAAACTCAAATGTTCTGATCTGTGGTGCACACACTTTTGTGCTGGGCTTGTTCCCACATATTGGTGCTCTGCAGGGTGATATTGGAAAGGCATACTATGAGTCCCTGAACCCATTCCAAATCCACTAGAGGAAATAAAGAACTATCCTTTATTGTCGTGCGCTCAGAAATTAAACATTTACAATTGCACCAACAGAGTATCTCATTAGGGTCATGTAGCCAACTAAATAGGATCTTAAATCCGAAAGTTTTTAAGAGGACTGTTTAAATCTTTTAATGAGATCCTATGTTTGAAATTCTTTCGTAATAACTAGATAAATCTTTTTTAATGCTTTTGTTTATCTTTTCCTTCTCTTCCATGCAATTTGTTGTTGTGGGCTTTTTTCTCTTCTGGCATCAATAAATGACTCGTCAAATGTCTTTCAGAATTTGTCTTTTCTCTAGCAAATTGTTGGTATAGATGAAGAATTCCTAAAACATACATGTTTTCACATAAGGTGGAAGATATAATCATATGGAGGATTAGAAGGATTACTGAGATATTTATACTATAATAAGTTTATTACTGATATTTTTGCATATTTTTCCACATGTTCTTACTATTTTAATATTTTGTAAGAAAATTATACATAGATTGGAAGCTTTAGAAAGTAAAAAGTGAATGAGAGGTGGACCCTATAGGGTAATAGCGGATTTATTTAGGATACAGAGAACCAGGTTCAAATCCCATGTCAGTGTAGCTTCCCTGAACAGATCCCTCACTGGTGGGCTGTTGGTGGGAAAGCTAAGAGTGAATTTGGCTTTTACTACCATAATCAAAAGCATCCATAATTTAAAACAAACAAACAAACAAACAAACAAACAAAAAAAAACCCCAACCCAACAAAAAGCAACCAAATCCCCAAAAAAGTCTTCTCCTCGGTTACTTTTTCGGAGGAGTATAGCTACTTCATGTATAGCCTGTTTAACCAACATAGCCTAGCTTATGTTACCCAGTTATGACATGTTTTGTATTTAATTTTCCTCACAACTTTTTTGAGCTTTATACAAGTGAATTTCTGTAAATAATAAATATATAGGTAGCCATCACTTTCACATGTTGCAATGTTACTACTACTCAGGAATTTTTAATGCCTCTAAAGTATTGGTGTATTTTTCCCGGTTACAGAAGTTCACATCAGAATTTCAGCTTAGTTTTTTCCAAGGCTGCAGAAAGAATTTTGCACTATGAGTAAAGCTTTCAGACCCAGAAGCAAAGTCTACTATGAAGGTTCAATTATTTATTTTAATCTCATGCCTTTTAGGTCTTTGTTTTTATTAATTTTATTGGACTGATTTGTGATGCTTGAAAACTCGATCAGCAAAACTTTATATCTTTTAAACACAATATAAATGAATTAAAACAAAACCTAAGTCACTAGGAAACCTAAGTCATTAGTTTTTCCTTGGAATGATTCATGTCTTCTAGCAATGCTAGGACAATATTAGAGCAGCACCACTTGTCATCCATCAGTGAGCAGCCAGCAGTGAGCTTTAGAGCCTGCATGAGTTGTTACTAGGACACTGATGGATCCTCATACTGCAGTAACCAGTATTGTGTGACCATTTAAGTGTGTGATTCACTCATATTGGATTTTTCTCTTGCAGATTGTGGGGGCTGTGGTTCAGAAATAAAAAATGGGCAATCATTGGTTGCCTTGGACAAACACTGGCATTTGGGCTGTTTTAAGTGCAATATATGCGGCAAGCTGCTGAATGCAGAGTACATCAGCAAGTAAGTTGAGTGGAGGAGCGTCTTGTTTTCAGCATTCTTTTACTATCAAATAATTAATTCAGTGTTGCATATCCTTTAGCTTGTGTTTATCAGTGTTTGGAGATATATAAAAGATTATTATGTAAAATATTATCCTAAATTGTATTGAACACAGAAAAATTCAGATTAAGAAAAGTAGAATTTGTCCATTTACCTGGAATGAGACTTGCCAAAGCTATAAAAAGGCAATGGTGGAGTTTTCCTTATCTGTGTTTGACTTTGCTCTATGCGATGCTGTAATGTGAACAAGCAGATATTATCCTTCCCATGTATTTCACGTAAGCAAAAATGTTCTCAAAAAGTTCATTTAGGAGGTACATATCTTGCTTTTGCATTGCTCCAGACTCTCATGCTGTCAGATTTGGACTGAATGTGGTGACAGCCATGAGAGGCAGCACAAAGCATACATGCAGACCAAATCCCACGTCAACACTTATATCAGTTTGGTGAGATACAGGGCTTTCACTGGCCAAGGCACCTGGGATTAATTTCTGCTTCAGAGAAGAGTATTGATATGATGAAATTTTCCTAAACAGCTAAGTAACTCAATCACCAGTGCAGCTGATGGAGTTTCAGAGCCGATGTCCCACTGACTTCCGACAATTCTTTGGATTTAGATTAATACAAGTAAAACATTTAATTTCACAGGTTGCATTGGAGCCTTAGAAAACCATATTTAATAAAAGTGTGTTCTTAAATAAGATTTTGCATTATCTTAAATGTTATGCTACTCTGCTGTATGTTGGAACGGTATTTTTTTACTTGTTATTTAATAATAAAACCCCCATAAATTGTAATGATAAAGTTATTTTGAAATCCTCTTTTAAAAAAAGCTAAATGCCAAACAAGATTACACAAGAAAAAGAAATATCCTTCTTTCCATTAATTCAATTAATTATTGTGATAACTTATAGGTTAGTCTCTAAGCAATCCAAATTGTATGCTATAAAATTATTTTTTATGTTTCTCCAGGGAAGTGTCCAATAAAATTATGCCTCTACTAATAAATCTGTCTGATCATGTGTGTTGTTTTAGTACAGCACACTAAACATATTTAACTACGTTAAATATGGACCACAAAAATGGACCTCTCCTATGAAGAAAGGCTGAGAGACTTGGGGTTGTTCAGCCTGGAGAAGACATGGCTCCAGGAGACCTTCTAGTGGCCTTCCAGTACTTAAACGGGGCCTATAAGAAAGAAGAGGACAAACTTTTTAGCAAGGCCTGTAGCAGCAGGACAAAGGGTAATGGTTTTAAACTAAAAGAGGGTAGATTTAGACTAAGTGTAAGGAATAAATTTTTTACAATGAGGGTGGTTTACTGGAACAGGTCACCCAGAGAGCTGGTAGAAGCTCCATCCCCGGAAACATTCAAGGTCAGGTTGGACAGGGCTCTGAGCAACCTGATCTAGTTGAAGATGTCCCTGTTCACTGCAGGGGGCTTGGACTAGATGACCTTTAAAGGTCCTTCCAACACAAACCATTCTATGATTCTATGTTTAACTTGCAGTTTGAAATAGAAGAGTCTCTGGTTTCTTCTAATTTATTTTAATTAATCTGTTTAGTGGTCTAAACATAAAATTTTGTAAAATTGGGATTTAAATATAAAATTAACAAATAAGTTCATTTCAGAGCAATAGCCCAAGTGTTTTGGTTCTCACTTTTTAGAATAAAAGCTAAGATTCTTGTTTTTATTCTTCATATTTTTAAATTTTATATTATCTTAAATCAGTTGTGGTGTTGAAATAACTGTTCACATCATGCGTGAACGTACTGCAAGATCTCTTCTGCTGCTTACGTTGAAGTCTCTTAATCATTACTGTCTTTAAGCAAGAATGTCAGTAGACTTATATGTTAATCAAAACTTGTTTTACAGTAAAGATAGTCAGTTGAGAAATTACTCTGAAGTCTTAGCTAAGTACAATTAGATGATAAATAAAGAGGGAAAGAATAATACGTAAAAATAAGTATTTTTTCCAGACTGTGAAACATGTGGAAGAATTTAATGAGTAACACTATCAAAACAAATGGTGTGAGAGTCTCAAAGACTGAGTGCTGTGACTGGAGGAGAGTCAATGGCTGAATTCAGTGACAAAGCAGGAAAGTGGGATTGTGGTAGGCTCTGAAGCACCAGTATAGTTCATGAACTGTTCAGTTCTTTACAAAATTAGTAAATACAAGTATTTGAGAGAGAGGAAAGTTCATAAACACACTGTGAAGTGTTGAAGCATTAACAAATTTTAGCTGTATAATCTTCCAGTAAACCTGTAAGCCTACCTAAAGCAATCTATCTCCATAAGGCCTGTTGTTCTTCCCTAGGGATGGCATTCCATACTGCGAAACGGACTATCATGCAAAGTTTGGTATCAGATGTGACAATTGTGAAAAGTATATCACAGGAAGAGTGCTTGAGGTAAGGAGAACCTGTTATTCAAACACATCTCAGGGCATACAAAGAGTCTTGCTCTTTTAGGTCTGGTCATATGCTCACAAATGAGTGTTAATGCAGCAGTTTAATGTTACATCTGTGAAATACTCGGAATTTTTTCTGTAATTCTTTTCTTTTTCTTCTCTTAATGGTTTGATAATACACATACTCCTTAAGTAGGTATGTGTGGTACTGGAGAATGTTCAAGTAGCAGAAATAATAAGTGAACGAATGATCAGGAACATTTTAATACACTAAATTTCTTTGTAAATTCTGCTCTTAGATTCTGTTTTATGTTCCCCAGAGTTAGGGTGAAGCTGCTGAAAAACAAAAATGAATAATTTGAAATGTATCTTTGCACCCAGAAATGAATTATGTTGCAGGGTTTTTTTGAGTTTGTTGTTGTTGAAAAGCAGAGATTGTTTAGTGTACATGAATGTTTAGACTTTATGCAAAGGAGATTTCCATATAACTGACCCAGGATCAGAAACTGATCTATTCCTTTGATCTAAATAGAACGTAGCTTTGGATCGAAGTGTATGGTTATCCAATCAATGTTATCATTTATCCACTTTCACTTTCTGCCCTTTCCCTGTATCTTGTGCAGCCTTAGCAGTACTGGAGTTAGGAAGAGGTTCCCCAGGTCTCTCATTCACTCCGTTCTCTTCATCAGTTAAGCCTGGAGAAGTCCCAAAGGACTTCTACCAGAGAAAGATCTGCTAGGAGTTGTACGAAGATTTAACTATCCAAATGGTGGATGATTATAGCTATGAAAGGGACTGAGGAGCAAGTGGAAGGAAACAGTGAGTCCATACCAGATGGCATGGTACAGTGTTAGGGTTAGGCATGGGAGGCTTTTCCATTGTCAAATGTTTTTACAGACATCTCAGAAAACAGACTTCTAATAAGGGATTTGAAAGAGTATGAAGACAGGTTTCTCACTATTTACAGAAAGCTCTCTCAAGTGGGAGAAGCAAAACAGAAGAAAACATAAAAAACCCTTCAAAAATGTGACCAGTGGAGGCTGGTACATGTTTTCAGAGATGTCAGCCTTTGACACTGAATGAAAGGTTGTAAGAGGAGGTGGGTTTTGGAGGTGAAGCTAATGAACTTACATTTGATATGATAAAGAAAAGAAAGGTGAATGCAGAGAGAAGTGTGTCATGGTGAAAGGTATAGTAAATTTGGGGTGCACTTACACATAGCAGGTTACAGGGAGTGATTAATACTAAGATGGGAGAAGAACAGAAGCTCCAATTTCTCTGCTTACTCTTGACTTCACAATATTGTGTTTTTCTGCCTTGAAATGTCTGTACAAAAATACTCCTTTTATTTAGGAATGCTTTACCTGCAATATATTAAACAATAGCACGTGGTGTGATGTGATTAAGAACTGGGTCCTTAACTGTATCTGTGGATGATGAAAAGAAAAAGTTAAAAATAAGATTTGCACACTAACAGGGGTGAGTTGGATTTGTTTGGATTTTCGAGAGGATGGGACCAAACTCTTTGGTGGTGCTCAGTGACAGGACAAGGGGCAATGGGCACAAACTGTATCACAGGAAGTTCCATTTGAAGATGAGGCAAAACTTCATTACTGTGCGGGTGCCAGAGCACTGGAACAGTCTGACCAGAGAGGTTGTGGCATATCCATCTCTGGAGATGTTAAAAACCCACCTGGATGCAGTCCTGTGCAACGTGCTTTAGGTGAACCTGCTCTGGCAGGGGGGTTGGACTAGATGATCTCCAGAGGTCCCTTCCAACCCCTACCAGTGTGTGATTCTGTGACCTGGGGGCACATGTGGCTGTATCTGTTTCCTCTAACTGCTTGGTGACAGCATAGTGAACAGGAGGAGGGTTTCTTGGTTTTATTATAGACAAACCAATAACAAATTTCTGAAAAATTAATTCTTTAAAGCTGTTGTAGGAATTTTACCATGACTGATTACATCTCTTGTAGTTCTAGGTGATGTTTTGGGTTAGTGCATGTGTGCCCCTCTCCTCTCGCCTTCCCCAATGTTGCTCTGATGACAGTGGTGTAGCACCGATTCTCTTCTTACTTTGGTACTGGTGTGACTTTGAATGAAGTCTGTGGCATTTAACTGTGGAAAAAATACTGATGCCTACTGAAACTTTTTTTTTAAAAAAGGTGAGGAGAAAGGACTTTCACAATTAGTAAAAACACAACAGTGTCAGATATAGTGTCACTGTCAAGTAGGAAAGAGAGGATGAATTTGGTGTGAAGCCAGCGATAGATTTGAACAGGTACAATGATATTTAATGTCTGGAGGCTTGTTACAACAACCTGGGAACTTTGTGGTCTATAACCTTCTTTCCATAAGATTGTATAAAACCATTTGTTGTTTTGTGTGCAGCAAAACTAATGAAGCTTGAGTGTGGGTGAATTTCCTATATCCTAGCATTCTACTGTAACAATAGGTCCTGTTCTTCATGATGTTTCCCAAAATACCTGTTCCCTTCCCCTCTGTTTCCTTGTGAAATACCTCAAGAGCTTTCTTTACATTTCCACTGCCTGTTTACGTGGTGAAGAGGTGATGCAGAGTGTGAGGCTCCTTGCATGGTGATCACTCAGTGATTTCCATGAGCCTTTAAATGGCCATTGAGGTTCAGTGTTGACTGTGGAGAGCAGTCAAATGAAGAGGTAGCATGCACACCTCTTTTCATTAGGAAGCTAGGCTAAAAGTCATGACCTAAGCAAACAGATTTGAAAGAACGCAGAGACCGTACCCGTAGCTAACAGGGTTAAGTCATTTGTTATTCATCTGCTGCAGACGGACTTGTCCAAAAGGCTTGGATTTGAGGCTGATTCTTCCATCTGTCTGGTATCAAACTGTGTGTGTCACTGACCAGCTTGCTGCTATGTTTGTGAATCTCCTGGTCAGGAGGACAGAAAAAAGAAAAAGTAGCCATGGCTGTTCTTTGTTGTGAGATGTATTTTGTGTGAAAATGTCTGGAATCCTGAAACATTTTTCAAAACTGCAGTATTTCTTTTTACCATCTTGAATATAATCTGGAGATACACAGAAATAATAGGACAAATTGCTGTTAAAGTGGGGCGGAAATCTTGACAGCAATACTTGTTTGGCAGAGGAATAGTCACCCAAGGGAGCTGCTGGAAGATATCACTTAGATCGTCTTAAAATGTGATCAGACAAGGCACTGGAAAATCTACGTTAGGAAACAGTCCTGCAATGACAAAGGGAGGGACTATATGACCTAATAGGATTTTTTCCATCTCTGATTTCTGTGATAATGTCAGGAGGACAGCTGCTTCCACAACTATTCAGTGCCCAGATTTTATAATATTGTCTCCCTTTGCAACATTTGTTTGTTTTAAGTATTTATTCAGCAGAGGAGGAAGGGAGAGTCAACTAGTGTGAGTTACTGATAACTTATAAAAATATAGCTGTTTTTGTAGGTTGCCAGCCAAATACAATGATGATTTAGTTACTTAAATTCTTCATTCAGCTTATTTTCTTAGGGCCAGATTCATTCCGTATAGTAAATGGGCTTAAACACAGGATAACTGTGTTTATAATTCCTTTCTTATTTCTTTCTTCCCCTTCACTCCACCTTGGCTTGCCCCCAGTCTCCCAGGGAACTTGTACTGGAAGAGCTACAAAAGGGACTGAGCAACTAATTTACAGAGACCATAAATTCTTCTATTGCTTTTAAAGGCAACAGTTTTGCTCTTCTTTTTACAAAAACCCTGCCCATTAGTGCTTTTATGGGCAAGATTTGCTTTACTCGTGAAGCGTACAGAGCACTATTTAATGCAATATCAGTCCTCTCCTAGAAATTGCTATGTTTTATCCCTGACCATATATATATTGGTAAACGTACCTTCTTAAATGGGGAGCTAGGGGTGGCTGGAGTTTACTTTATAGTTTGACCTAAAATGCAATGTGACTGAAAACCTGTAAGGAGAAAAAGGTTTACTTTAGTGCTTATGCTATTGCTCTGTTCCCAATCCAGCAATAGCTAAAATCATGCAATAACACAGCAAATAAACACATTTTAAAATAACAAGCTGTTGATTTTTATAATCAACCATTTCCCTTTTGTTGTGTTGCAATCTATTTCTCTGCATTTGGCACTAAAACTATTTTTTCCTCTTTTTCTATCACAAACAGTTATTTATTCATTAAATTTTCAACTTGTGCTAATGAGCATATCATAAAAATAGACAAAATAAGTGTAATTGCCTTTTTTCTAAAAATATACTGTATTTTGCATTATAATTCAGAGCCTGATACAAATCCCTTTGAATCAAGAGAACGCTTTTCATTTGTTTCATGATCTTTAATCAGTTTTCTATCTGTGTTTTGCTCAGAGGCAGTGGAGGAGGGTTGTCTACCTCCCAGTTCTTCCCACATGACAAGCCGTGCAGAGGCTTGGATGGCTGTTGAGGTGTGTGGAGCAGCTGTGTGGCAGCCAGTGACTCCTCCTGGTCCCCTCCTGTGGAACATGCCTGAGTTTCCTTAACATCTGATATTTAGAAATTCAGTTCCAGCAAACTCTATTTGTAAGCTTTCTCTGTATAGTTATTAATTCTTCCGATACAGATTGATTTTTAGCTTTTTTGATCTTCCCTCCTTTACCTGATGAACTCCAAGGAGAACAATCTTAGTTCCTCCCAACTTTTGTTTTGCAAAACTGAATGGGCCAGATTTTCCTCTGCTCATAAGTCAGCTCCAAGCTCTTCTGGTGATGCTGGTGGACCTTCTCACCATCTATTCCCTGCTGGAACCACCTTTTTTCAGCATGGATGGACATTGTACTCCAGGTGATGCCTCACCACTACCTTGTGCAGTGATAGTAACCCCTTCCGCTGTTTCTAAAGAAAGTACTTTCCCTGGTATATCTCACCCTGAGTGTGGGGTTTTTCCTGTGGCTTCGTTAGCCTTGACAGCTTGTAGCGATATGTGACTTGGCAGGAGCATTTCTCTTCATCTGCTGTTTCA